AAAGCAACTGAAAAGTGTTTTGAATCGCAATGGGGCTGGCTATTGAAAGTTTCTTGGACGGGTTAACAGTTCAGACAACAAGAACAGCATGGGATCAATTCTGTGCCAAAAATCATATCAAAGGTGCAGTTTTCAAATTAGTTCAACGATCCGAAACAAGGTGGCTCCAAACAGTATTGATTCTTGATAATATGTTTGAAAAATTGACTTCACTTCAAGAATTTTACAGTGAAAGAGAACAATACCAAAAGCCTCTTGGACCTCGCAACATTATGGGTGAGTGTAATGTCAACTGCAAATTGTTTGTTGCGTGTATGTTCTTCACTCAAATAGTGCTCAGTAAGGTGAAGATAATTAACGACTGGCTACAGACCGCCAATTTACTATACCCCGTGGCCTATCAACGTGTTGAAGATTTAATTTCGAATATCTTCGAGCTCAGACGTAAGGTGGTGTTAACCGATTATTTAGAAAAAATGAAATACATTGAAGATCTTGACGACAACGAAAAATTCATTTTGAAAAAGTATTCAATTCACCTGCTCGTTAAGTTGGGTGACGCGATGATTTTGAGGTTTGCAATTCCTTCAAGAAAAATGACCAAAGAAGACCTCTTCGATGCTGGATTGTTTAAGGAAAACCAGGTCAAAGGAACGAATATGGCAAATTTCGGGAAATTACAAAGAAAACTCTAAGGAAAAGAATTGGTAATAAACATCAAAATTTACAACAACTTTGACGCAAAATCATTCGAGGAAAGTGATGACCAAGAATTGAAAGCGGAAGTTCAAAAGTTTCAAGATTGGTACTGTGCCAACATTGAAAAAGTCGAAGAAATTGCAAACAGGTTAAAAAGAAAAGAAAGGGCTGATGCTAATGAGGCAATACGTACTCTTGTTAAACAAGTGAGATTAACAAGTACAGATCAAACAGAAGCAATAGATATCGCTGAAGATTGCAGCAGTAGTGAAATTGTTAAAGAAAAGAGAGCAAACGCCATTCAACACAGAAAGCACATAAGGGCTTTATTCAAAAAAGAAGCAGAAGATTTCTTAAAGAGTTGCCCAGTCAAAAAACTAACTTTGAACACCTTGTTTGCTTTGATGAGTCAAGAAGAAAAGAAACAATTCCCATGTTTATTCAATCTTGTGAAAAAGATGAATGCTAGAGTCCAACCACTTGCCCAGTTGAAAGATCTTTTAATAAAATTGGACAACTTGATAGAGCAAACATGAGCGTTGAAAAGAAAGTTGCTTACATGGATGTTGGGGATGCTCTGAAAAACTAATTACCAATTTTTATTTCGATTTGTTTAAATGAATATTTTTATATATAAAACAGTCAAAAAAGCTCAAATATTTCGGGTTGGTTTTTTTATTTATAAAACAGTCTTAAAAACCGTAATATTTCGGGAAGGGGTTTTACTATAATAAAATTCATTTTCAACAATATCAAATAAAAGTATAAAACGACCCACCCATCACCGTGAACGGGCAAAAAGGAGGGCTATTGGAATGATTAAAGAATTAACCGACATCCTTTTTCTAAACCTCACCCTCTAATTCAAATAAAATTATACAATAAATTAATAGATACATATATAATTTAATATTATGGGTATTTAATTATACAATAACTATTGTTAATTATATAATATACTAAATAATTATAATTTAATTTTTAAGATCTAATTTATAATAAATTTAATTATATTATAAAAACTATAATTTAAAATCAAACGTATTTATCAAATCAAGCAAGTTTACTTTTTGAGAAAAATACGTCTTACAATGATAACCCATTTAAAAGAGATTTATAACAAGTCGTTTAAAACTGAAGGAGACTTGTTAAAAATAAGCCTCACAGACAGCGAGAGGCTTATTGGCGATGCAGCAAAGAACCAGATTGCGATGAATGTGAAGAATACAGTCTTTGATGCAAAGAGACTGATTGGAAGACGCTTCAGTGACCCAGCAATTCAAGAGATATGAAGCACTGGTCGTTCACTGTCGTCACGATGGCATGACAGCCATTGAT